GACAAACCCTGTTGAGAGATCACAGGATTTCCTCAGGGATAATCCTGATTACCTCCACTGTAAACATAATATGTGAGAGCCAGCTGGCTGGAAAATCCTTTGTTGTTCTCTGAAACATAGTTGTGATCAAACTGTTTGAGACTTGCATTTAGTTTAGCCCATTCTCTTTAATGCAGGATGGCCAGTTTTAACATGTTGGGTGTCCTACAGAGGCAGTCCTCGACTTACAACCAATAACTATTTATGATGGGTCATTGCACTTGTGACCATGACAGCATCCACATGCTCATGTTATCAAAAATTGAGTGCATGTAAATTGGCATGTATTTTACAAGTTGCAGTGTCCAGGAATCGTGTGATCACCATTTGTGATCTTTCCTGTCAGCTTCTGACAAAGTCAATGAGGGGAGCTAGATTTGCTTAATGACCATGTGATTCACTTAACAACTGCAGTGATTCACTTAACAATCATGGCAAAAATCATAAAAACAGATGTGATTCAATTAACAATGGAAATTCTGGTCCCAATTGTGATTGCCTGTACTACTTTGAGAAAATCTTTGCTTCTCTCAGAAGAATGGAAGGCTAAGTCAACCTTGAGCCTGGTGAGATTTGAACTGCCAAATTGCAGTCAACTGGCAGTCAGTTATATTTCTGGCCCAGATCCTATCTGCCCCCATATGAAGAAGCAAGAGGCCCTGTTGCTTGCATCCATCTTTATGCAAGTCTTCTTGTCTATTCTCATTCAAAGGATCTAGGCAGGAGAGGAGATTTTGAGGGCTGCAAAAGGAAGGAAATAGCAATAGCACTTAGACTTATATACCATTTTACAGTGCTTTACAGCCTTCTCTAAGCAGTTTACAGAGTCAGCATATTGTCCCCCAACAATTTGGGTCCTCATTTATTGACCTCAGAAGAATGGAAGGCTGAGTCAACCTTGAGCCTGGTGAGATTTGAACTGCCAAATTACAGGCAGCCAGCAGTCAGCAGAACGAGCCTGCAGTACTGGCACTACCACTGCACAACCAAGGCTCATCTCAACTCAAATCATTACTCTCTCAGTGGTTTCAGCGAAATCTGGTTCAGTTAGTAACTCTGTGGTTTTTTCTCTCTCTCTCTTTCTGTCTTATTGAGCAAGTGATTGGTGTGAATGTAATGTGCTGTATTCATTTATGCTTGCTGTAACAAGACTAATTTTATACTATAAACCCTTTGCAAAGTCAGCATATAAAGGGTTGTAGATTGACTCAGAATCCATTTGAATAATACATTTTACCTATTTTGATTTGCTTGGGAAGCATATGACTCCAATTAACAATCTGGCTTGGAAAATAAATTTGATTTGGAAATGGGATCGAACTGCAAACCAAATGTTTACACAAACCTAGTAAATAAATTGCTATAAACTGATTAAGTAAGCAAATGGCTACATATTGATATTTCACAAGGAACTTAAAGGACATATCGACACAGCAAATTTGCATCCTGTAGTACACAGCCGAGAGTGCAGGAAGCATGCTGAGCAATTTTTTACATATCTTTAAAAAAAGCCTGGACCTCAGAATAGGGAGTCAGCTGAGTATACTGGGATGGTTCTGCTATTAGTAATGTAAACCATAATGACTAACTATCTTGTCTATACCATTTTCTGCAGCGTTTGTATTGGTTCAAATCAATATTATGCAGGCATTCGCTATATCTACAGGTACAGTAGTTTTATCTACCAGTATCTACAGATATATCTATTAGTTATATCTACAGGTAGTCCTTGACTTACATCCATTTGTTTAGTGATCATTCAAAGTTATGGCAGCAATGAAAAATGTGAGTTATGAGCACTTTTCACACTTACAACTGTTGCAGCATCCCCATAGTTATGTGATCACAATTCGGATGCTTGGCAACTGGCATGTATTTACATTTGCAATGCTCCAATGTAATCACCTTTTGTGACCTTCTGATAAGCTGCACTGCTTTTTCGACCCCCTCCCTTTCTGTTGGCAACTCTAAAACGACCATAGAAATATTTTATGAGTTGACAGCTACAAGCTAGTTCAAAAGAAGTTACTTTTATAGAGGAGTCTTTGGGTTGTTCCTAGAAAATGTGTGAACTTAGCCTGCCTTGTCCAGTAGAGAGAAAATGTGGTTTGCTTTCTTGTGAGGTTTTGCCATTTTTATCATTTGTAAGTTGAAGTGGTGACCTCAGGGTAAAGGTTTTATGTGAGGAAATCAATTACAGAAATAAGGAACTTTCAATATTTAGAGGGAATTTCCTTTGTTTAATTAAGTTGCTTTGCCAATTTCACCTGTCTAAGATGTGCTTTGTCAATTTCAGCCTAAGTGTCAAAAGGCTTAAGCAGTCTTTTGGTCCTGTTTTTCTGGGGTTCACTGGGAAGTCAGGGAAGAAAGAGGGCAAAAGGTGGCATTGGGCCATGGCCTTCCTACAAGGTCTTTAATATAATAAACGTTAACTTTTCAGATTTTTATTCCCAAAGTATGGAAGAGCCAAATAGAACAGCCGCATAGTTCCTACTTGAAACAAACTGCTTAGTTAACTTTTTTTTTTACATGAGGTGTTGAAATATCTCCCACTGAGAATTCTAGCCACCTGGAGTAAGGTGAGAATTGTTGTTGAATATAGCATTTCAATCAGGAATTGACATTTTTGATCTCCCAGTAGGTGGTAGCAATATTGAAGACAGCAGGAGCACCAGACATACCTCTGCAGTGGCAGAAAACCTATTCCCTTCCTTGCAAAGACGGGTGTATGTCTTAAAATAAGACATTTTGCTTCGTTTTGCTTTTGCTTTTTTAAAGGGAAAACAATTGTTTGAAACAACTCTCTCTCTCCTCTGATTGTCTTTTGCAAAGCTAAAACAAAACTAAAATATAATTTTAAGAATATCAGATGAGGCTACTAGACATGTATATAAAATGATTATATTCATTTATTTTGCATCTACTCATTACTAGAAAGTTGAATGCTTTTAAAAACTTAATTATACAATGTTGAATGAAAAAGGCATAGAAATGAAGAAAATAAAAAAATAGAAATTACACATAGATAGTTTTGAGTATATATAAACAACTTTGTAAACTTAAAGAATAATGAAAATTTTTAAACATCCATGTTTCTATTCTTTTATATATACAGTACAATATACAGTAGTTTTTTAGTAGTTAATTGCTTGATATAACTAAAAATTGAGATTGTAAAATTGTTTTTAATTAAATAATCCTTTGAGTCTCTTTGCCCTTATGCTATTTGAGGGTGCTGTATTGGCTTCCAGTAAGTTTCTGGATATGGCTCAAATGTTGGTTTAAACTTTTAGAACCTAAATGGTTTAGTGCTAGATACTTGCAGCATCACTTCCAGATAAGAACTGATCCATTTAGTTCCCTCATATTAGTTGAGGATATCCAACTCCTGAATCTATGAAAGTTGAGATCTGCGGGGGCTTAGAAGCAATGCTTTTGTATGATGCTTCCTCTACATGAAGAAGCCTCCCATTGGAAGTCAAACTTGACACCAGCTTGTGGCATTTCAACAAGCTACCCAGATGGAGTTAAGGCAAGACTTTAAAAACTAATGTGTGTATTTGTGCCACTGCCCTATAATGTTTACTACTGGTGGATTTGTATAGTTTTAAACTTTACTGCATTATTTTTCTATGAATGAATACTATTCAGAGCTATATACAATAGACAGACAGACTGCACTAAAATCAATCAAGCCACTATGGATTGCTTTAGTCTAATGCATGGGTGTCAAACTCGTGGTGTCACATTGTCATCATGTGATGTTTTGTGACATTTTTTTCCCTTTGTGGAGCTGGGGTGGGCATGGCCTGACATGATGCATCTGGCCTGTGGGCTGCCAGTTTAACACCCCTGGTAATGTGTCAACCAAGGCGTAGGATTCCTAAGCAGATGTTCCCATCCAGGCATTGATCCAGATCCAAGCCTGTTTCACATTACTAAGCTGCTATATTACATTTTCACATCATGCCATAGGATCACAATGGTTTGGGGGTCTACATCTGGGTTATCACTGAAGTTGCACCATCATTCACAGATCATGTAGGAATGACCCTCCCTTTTCATATGCTTTGCTTTTATTAAGCAGTACCTTTTTACATTTAAATTGCTTTGCTTAGTTTCCATTAAGACAGTGAAAAGTGGTTATATGTCTTAGTCTCCACTGAACCCATTGGAATGGAGGGTAGGGCAAATTTTCTTGGCTGATCAAAGCATCTGATTCAGTCCTTCAGTGCTAAAATTGAGACACATCCCTTCAATTATAACAGGTGATATTTGATCTGTTTTGATATTCAGTGCAGCTTTTAGCATTGTTGTTATGGTAGAGGAGTTTAAAGTAATATAGAAACAATATTTTCTGTGTTATTAAGGAGCCTGGCTATCTTTCCCCATGCTTGTCATAGGAAGTCACACTTTTAGTTATAATATCTGTGACTTGGATGGGTGTTGAATTCTTCATGAATCAATTTTTCTAAGTGGTTCAAGGTCCTGCAAATAATGAAGGGGCAAGATGGAGATCTATTCTTCTTCATAATGGACTCTGATGATTATTGTGTGCATAAGGCTTAAGCTGACTTATCTTCCTTATATGGAATAGATTTTTGTATGAGTTTAAGGCTTTGATAATATGAAAATATATTTAATTGTATTTGATGAATTAATTGATGAATTACTTAGATGGGAAATGATTAAGGGGATCATGGGTCTTATTGAAAATCATTGCAGAATATAAATATACCAGATACTGTATACTTTTTACAAAAAGGAAAATACCATTGCTTCTTTGAATATAAGAGATATATCGGAAGAAAATAACTGTTGCCCAATATTAAAACAAAATTTTGTAGCAATCCCTGACCCCAAAAGGATTGTTAGAAATAGCTTAAATTTGTTTTGAATGTTTGCCTTAAGAACAGATAGGGAAAGATACCACAGTAATTCCAAACCATTATTCGTTGCAGATATAAACATGGCTGGAGAACCGAAGCCCAACAGGCCAAAAGGACTAAAGAGAACAGCATCTGCCTTGTACAGGTAGGGTTGCTGAGGATTTTACCAGGGCTATTCACCACATCTGTATTTAATCATGCATGATGGCAGCCTATCAGAACCTGCTATTCTAGGCTGCAACCATCATAATTCTTCAGCAGCCTAATGAGAAATATGCCTGATACCTTTTGGCTCCCAGAATTGTCGAACGCAAACCTAGAAAACATGTAAACCTAGACATTTGGCAAATAAATGGGTCTTTGAGCAAGGTTTCTAGTGCTTAGGTCATCCATGCAGTTGGCAAAGGCAATGAAGTTCAGACAACAGTAAGTTGCATGTGGTAGGAGTTTGGAAGTGAAAATTAGGAGAAGAAAATGAATGAGGGAAAGAATTAAGCAAAAGATAGGACTTTCTGGTAACAGGAATTAGTGTCAGATCTGAATATAGTAAGACAGAAGGATGATGCTATCAATGCAACTGAGAGACAGCAATGGAGGAGTAATATGAGGGTCATAGAATTCTAAATTATTAAGAAAGGTAGAAGGAAGTGGAAAGTGTTGAGACAGATGTTGGAGAGGAGGATGGCAAAAAAGAGATTGGAATAGATTGTTTATCCAGAAATGGATTGAACATTATAGAAGATGACACCATCATGGGCAGCAAGCAAAATGAGTAATCAGATGCCGGGTAGAACTTAACAGAGACCTTAAGAAAGAACCAACAGAACTTAATACCAATGAAAAGTGAAGGCAGAAATCTGAGGCTTCAGGAAGCTGGTTTGGATCATAAGAAAATAGCAGTAGAGAAGCATGTAAATAGATATGTCAGCCAATTCTTGTCCTCTCCTGGTATGTAGCATTACAAATGAAATATAATGCATGGAAGCAATATGTCATGGACAGAAATAAGAGTGATGAATAAAGAGTTAATGGCAAAGAAGACCTGATGGTGGTAACTACAAGAAAGGATAAGTCAAAATAATAAATTAAATGACTGGATCATCTTGTCTTTCCACCACAACTTTTCCCATCAGATTTCCTCAAGATACCAGAGCAAATGTCAAGCTAGCTGGGAATTTTAAAAGTTGAAGTCCAACTAACATAGGAAAAGCAGTTTACAGATATTTGCATACCTTGGTTTTGGCATCCATTACAGTAAATGGCAAGGTAGAGAATTATTTAACATAATTGCAGTGCTAATTGTACAGATTGGTATAAACTAAGAAACATATTTTAGGTTGGGTTCTGCAAAATAGTAGTTTTTGCATGCTAGCCAAGTAAAAAACTAAATTATCTTTAACCCAATTCCAGCTACATCACAGTTCATGGAAAAACATTTACCGAGGTTTTCATCCTTTGCCCATCACTGTTACTAAACAGCAGTCTTGTCAATAATTTTTTCCATTTTGCTTTTTCATCATATTTATTACTTCAGATAAATATTAGTTGCTCCTCCAGGCAGCTCTACAAAAGGAAAAAGTTCTGAAGATTAAAGGGAAGGCATGTTCTGCCTTGTTTTTATCATCCTTGGGCTTTTTCCTCAGCCCAGAAGGATGCTTGGCTTCATCCTTGTTTTATGTTCCCTTCACCCAGACACATCAAACACTTCCATTAGTAAAGGCTGAATAACATGTAATCATGTATAATGACAAATAATATGGCAAATTGGGGCACTTACACAAGTATAGATTTTACTCACTTTTTAGCAGATCTCATGAACATATCAGCACTTGCTAAAGCCATAGCAACAGGATGAAATGTTTAATGGCATTGAGTACTACTGTTAAGATACTTATTTAGCTGTGGGCACATCATACATAATTGCTCTGATCCCTATTTGTTTTGTGATTTAATTTAACTCTACAGTGCCCTACTAACATTTTAGAGCAAAGGACAATATAAATCTAAAGTAACGTATTACATGGAACACATAATGTTCCAGGTGATTTGCATGGATAATTTAGAATTCCTTCAATATGTTGAATTCTGTGATACTAGATGAATAGAAAGGGAGAGGGTTTTTTGATCAAAAAAGGAAGGAATTCTTGTTCCTACTGCATTAAAGTGATGACCATAGCCATTGTTTTAAGACTCATGGGTTGATTAAAGTCATCTATGCTGATGGAGCATTGCATTTTGAACATTTGCATATCCCTAAAATAATCATTTTGAAGAAATCCTTTTACATTATTTCCTCAGAGAGGATGCTAGCTTGATGTTAGAACAGCATGATAATAGGAGGTAGTCTTCTTACAACATCTATCTGCTTCCTGTAATTATTGGATGTTTTTGCATTACAAATAATCAACATTTTGCATAAAATTGGCCGACCAACTGATCAGAGGCACCCTTTTGGCAAACTGAAAGGTTTTTAATTTCTTTAATTGTCTAACAATTGTAATTTTACTAATTGCATTAAGTTTTATGTCATCTTTGATTGATTAAGAGTGACATAATAGTAAATGTAGATTGATTGTACTAGTGGGTTTTATGGAACAATATAGGAAACTTTGCCTCAGCCCTTTGATAAGTCCGAGATCTGGTCAAGCAATCTATGCTGAAAGATCTTATAAAACTATGCTGGATTCTAATCAAATATCTGCAGCTGGCAATTTCATATCTAGCCAGATGGAGTAACCTCAAACTATGCACAGCATGGTTAGGCTAGAATGAACCTGGATGAAAGAAAGCTGAACTTCTATAAATGAATCCCTTGATGCCTAATGCCTAATCATTAAGAAGCCTGGATGAATTCATTCTTTCTGAAGTCCATTGTGAACCAACCTGATCTGCCAAATGAATTACAGATTGGAAAAAGTTATTCGGTGCCTTATGCCCTCTCAAAGCAACGTTTAGCAATAACATGAAAAAACCCAATCAAAATAGTTTGGAATAATAAATGGAATGTGATGAATAATGTCTATCTTTAGAGAGAATATATTCTCATTTATGCCTTTGCATCCATGTTGAAATGGATATGTTCTTGTGGACTTTTTTTTTTAATTGCAAACCAGTCAGAAAAACATTTATAATTGAGAATATACAAAGGTTTGGTTTCTCTATCTCTAGTTAGAGTTAGTATGTTAGTACTACAGTTCTAAATATATTATTTTGGAAGTAAGGTCCAAAATATTTATTTGCATTACTAGAAGAGTAATGCAGATAACAAATTATATTCAATCTTTTCAAGATTGAGGGTTGCTTTTCTCCCAGGAGAATATATTGGCAGCCATTATGAGACATCCAGCTAAGAAGCAGCATCTAAGAAAAACAGAGGGTAGTGGGTAGGACGCTGATTGTTTCTCAGACCTCTCTTCTCCTTCTCCAGCTCTTCTAAGTAGCAGGCTGCCACAGTAAGAGAGAAATGGCTTTTATCAGAGTTCTGATCTAATTTCCCATGTGTAGGGTCTTTGCAATTAATCTGAGATCACAGTGCATTAGCCTAAAGGTGGCATGCAGCTCTAAGGCTACATTATGATCATTCCTGTCTCAATATGTAATAAGAGTTAGATTATACCAGTAACTGCAGGTAAATCTCCCCTATCTTCCCCCCCCCCCCACCTTCCCTTCCCCATTCAGGCAGCATCATACATCCATTCTCTCTTCTATTCACCATTTCTCTCTGTGTTCTAAATCAATGCACACTCAGACTCCATTTCTCTATAGCTCATTTCCCATTCTTTTCCTCTGACTCATATACACTTTGGCTGGATTTTCATACCACCCAAAACACTAATCCCAGGCTAACACAACTTGATTTCAATGTTTGCTTAACAAGTTATATCCAAATATATCAATCAAGTTACTGTGTAGCTAAAAATGTTGGGCTGGCTCATGCCAAGAATCCTGCAACTACTCCTCACAATAGTCTGTAGAGGTTATCAGTCATCCAGGTCATGGTTGTTCCAAAGGTCTTTTTCAGGAGGCAACTGGACTTTCTTGTTTTTTTTCTTTTGAAGACATTTCGCTTCTTAGATCAGAAGCGAAATGTCTTCAAAAGAAAAAACAAGGAAGTCCAGTTGCCTCCTGAAAAAGCACCTTTGGGACTCCCCACAATATGAATTATGTGACATCAAACTGGTGCTGAGTCTTATCATCAATAACTTTATGAATACATCCTTCCTGCCAACCTGTGGAAGGTCAAAGTATCCAACCCATTCTAGCTTATCAGGTATGTTGTATGAATCCAGCCAGTGAGGCACAAACCACAGAACAAGGCCGTTATTCTTAGGGATATTTTGACCACACTGATTTGCCCCTGTCTCTTATTTGAAACATCCAAGATCTCATGGAGCGGAAACTCATAAGACTCATATACAGAAATTCTCTGAAGTGTTAGACCATTGGGTGAGGATAACAGATGAAGTTGTTGGGCTATTCCCAGTCCTTTGAGTACAAGCAAATTGACCGACCCTGTTTCAAAGAGCTGCACTTATTCTATTTGTCATGTCATTCTGTGAGGCTCTGGAAGGAAATTGATTTCTCTGATGCCCCTGCTTCACTTTTTGATACAGTCTCAGAGTAGGAGTAACCAGAAAGCAATTATAGGAATATAGCTAAGAAGAAATCTGTCAGCAAAAAAGGGGAAGCAAGCATTGTTCTATCAGGGGTCTCCAACCTTGGGAACTTTAAGACTTGTGGACTTTGTCGTGTCCGGCGCAGGAAGGAAGCTCGGAGTCAGTGACAAAGTTCAGCTCTTTATTGTGCTCCAGTACATGCTTGGGGAAAAGAAGGAAAAACCCCGGCTTTTATTTCCAAGCCGCGGCGGCCCGCGGCCAATGACATCGTTTCGAATCTCCCGCTCTTGGCTCGACCAATAGCGGGAGATTCTTAACGGACCAATCCGGGCGGCTTGCCCGACCAATCCGGTTGCCGCGCGCTTTAGCCAATCGCAGCGCGGGGTTTGCAAGTATGTTAATTCTTTGTACAGAACACCCCTCCCCTCTTGGTTCGTTCCTACGCAACGTAGTCCCGTAAGTAGGCGGGGCTTCGTACTTGTCTACTGGACCTGCGCAGGTCAGTTGTTTCCTGGTTCCCGGCCTGTTC